TATATATATATATATATATATATATATATATATATACATATGTGTGTGTGTGTGTTTCTTGTTCCACAGTTACAATTATAAACAGAATTACATTTAATTCATATAGAATTATTATATTACTATATAAAATATTAAAGCTAGATGTTAATGCGGTATTTGTAGTGATCCATGATAATTTTTTCCTGTGTGTATCCTAGAATGGGTAGTCTGCATGATCACCCACATACAATAGCACTGGTAGGCTATTGCACAACATTCAGTGTCATCTGCCACTCAAATACAGATGTGCCACACATGACGTCATATTTGAAAAACATATAATAAACTTGTAAATACGTTTAATGGACATTTATTTAAAAATCACTAAATTCAGCTTTTTATTTAGGATTTTTGTGTTACAATTACAGCTGCTCAACTCATCTGCCAGTCACAACTGGAGGCAAAATACTGCGACATGACATGACTAAAACTTGTGACACATGCCACACTCCACTGTCCACTGACACATGCCACTGAAACCCGGAAGTGCCACCGGAAGTGTCATTGAGAATAGCGGCATGTGCCAATGGCATCTGTCATGTCATGTCACTTTTGTCGCACTGCACTGTATATATGTCTCATATATATATATATATATATAAATGAGACAGAGAGAGAAATATTATCAATCTGTTTTTTGAGTGTCTCTTGGTCAGTGTGGGCAAACACTGACACATATGAAGAAAACATTATGAATACAAAATACAAAATTAAACATTCCAAAACCTAGACAGGATCTGAAAAGAGTGTGCAGAGCAATGAATGCATTAACATAGTCTCACATATTGGTGATAAGACATTGCCATATCTTTTGATTGTGATAAATTAGTCGAATGAATGAATATATATTCCAGCCTGAGGTTCTGCAAATGCCTGTGAGGGAGCCTAATTATAGCACCCTAGCATGTACTTATGCATAATTGCCAGCTCACGCCATGATGAAGTACATTGATGGGATAAGCTACAAAGTGGAGGGTTAGTTCAGGATGGATCTAGACTGAGTATGAATGGGCAAACTCATTAATTAAAATTCAAATGCGGAGTGAGAAGGATGTGTTCTGTGGTTCTGCTTGAATATGTAAACAATGTGCTTTTAAAACGTCAGCGAAAAGTACACCTTCAACCAAATAATATTATTAAAATGTCAGGTTGAAATATTCGAGGAAACCCATATGCTAGTCTATTATACTGTCATCGTTTTCTTGGTGATAATCATGATGACTCACGGGATGTAATTTTGTGCACTAAATAGGGAATTGTATTAGAAGCACCCGAAGCTTCTGAAATGTCACAATAGCGCTGGCATTTTAACAACTTTTATCTCTTTTCCACAAAAAGTTGGAGGCAGTCAGTGTGTCTATGCCGTCACTGTGGTAACTGTCACTGCTAGGCTATAATCTGGCACTGCAGACCGTGTGTGAAGTGAACTGTGTGTTGCTCTGACATTCAGATAGCAATCTCGCAGCCTTCATGCTGTGCATCTCAACAAGAGAAAAGGCTAAACATTCTTGAATGATATCACGACTGGCTAATTATATGATAATGCTTTTTGAAAGATTACAGGTTAGATCAAAGGTTCTTTGGTCAGTGTTTAATAATTTAGAACATTATGCAGGACTGAGGTAGTTAATTGTAGCCTACTGTATATTCTCAATTAGCGATACAAAATACAAATAGCAACACCAGCAATACAAACTGCAGCTGTATCCGGCACTATAGGGCCTACTTTCATTTTGTATACAAACACAACTGGAGCATTTCAGAAAGCCTTATTATTAGGCTACTGGATTATTACTGCAGTGTTCATCTAGTTGCTAGACCGTCAGTTTTATATGGACTTTTCTTACATAATATACAGGGAAAATTACAATTCAACATGATAGCAATCATTTCAATATTTAATGTAGCCATGTAATCTGAACTAAGAAACAAAGTTGCAAAGATCAAAGTTAACCCGAGAGGAAATTTATGGGCAACAGGTGAGATGCATACACGACTTATTATTGTGCTACATATAACATGACTTATACCTTGAACAGAAATGTGATTTGGCACTTAAGGTCATTTTATGGGGAAGAAAAGTGTTGTGGACAGCGAACAGTTGCCGACCGAGGATGACTCCACGATGAAAGCCATGGAGGCTGCAGTGAATCTCCAGCAGGTCGAGCCCGCGGACCTCTACCAGGAGATGCTGAGGATCGCGCTACAAACACACCTCGACTCTCAGGAGATCCGCCCTAAAGTTCCGGTAAGAACCGAGTCTGCAGTTTCTGTTCATTTTGAAGTAGTTTCTACTCTGGTCTGAAATTAATATGAGAGAGAATATTCTTCTGTCGTAAATAATTTTCATAAAAATGTGATTTGAATTCATTTGATTGTGTGCCTTAAAATGTAATTATTAGTGCTGTCAAATGATTAATCGCGATTAATCGCATCCAAAAGAAAAGTTTTTGTTTACATAATATATGTGTGTATACTATGTATATTTATTATGTATATATAAATACAAACACATGCATGCATATATTTAAGAAAAATATGTTATGTTTATAAATTAAATATATTTATATATATATATATATGAATTTATAAATGTATAAACATGTAACTATTTTCAAAATATATACTGTATGTGTGTGTATTTATATATACATAATAAATATACGCAATACACATACATGTATAATATAAACAAAAACTTTTATTTTGGATGTGATTAATCGCAATTAATCGTTTGACAGCACTAGTAATTATATATATATAATCTAACATAACATAATCAATGATTGAATATAATCGACAATTGATTTATGTGAACTGTTTTGGTCGTTCTAGGAGACTGCAATATTAATGAAGATATTAGACAGCTACATCCAAGACAACAAAAAATGATGACTGCCATCGGCTGAGATCTTCGAATTGTTTAATTCACATGGAATTTGTAATTGCTCTTTCATCAGCTGTAATTTGTTTCTTAACTAAACCTATTAACCACCTCCATGTCACATGAAATGCAACAAGTTACACTTGTATATTTATTTTTAGAAGATGTCCAGAATTGTATTATTTTTTTTCAATAATTTGTATTAAATAAAATTGGTGAAGTCAGTTGCTCCTGCATGCAACTACAATGTTAAAAGTGTCATCATTTTTTATCTAAATTTATACACTCAGTGGAAGTATATTTTTTAACCCAATAGCAGGGGAGTGAGTATTTAGGATTTTGAAATGAAGTGAATTACTCTTGGTGCTTTCAGTGATTGATGGGATTTCATAGAATTAGCTTTCAGATGGTGACCATAAGTGTTTTATGAAAACTGGAAACTTTACACACTATAATATATCGTATTTATAAGAAAACATCAGACGTAAATTCAAAACACGGGTGAGAAAAACAAAACAACATAAACTAAAAAGTAAACCCAACATAACAACAACATAAAAAAGTAATCGCAACTAAGGAAAAATGCTGTTTTGAGCAAATTTACATTTTTACACACAACACAGAACAGAAAACATATGCAAATCTAAGACAAACCTCAGCAACAGACTCATCTGGACGGAAGATCATTTAACATTATTTTCAAACAAATCTCGACAAGTTATGACAGTTACAATGACAAATCATGAAAACGCAAATTTCCAAGAACTAAAATGAATGACACAGAAAGACTTTGAATAACTCAAGGTAAAAAAAAAATATATATTGTTTGTTAGCATATTTTTGTCTTGCCCTAAGAACTGAATATATTTCTTGTACAAATAGTGTGCAAAGAGTAGCCTAAATATCAAATACTGGTTCTCTATATATAAATTCATTACATTTCCTGAGACAATAAAAGCGACAACAACCGTCTTTGACCTGGCTTTGTTCTCCATTTAGTCAACACAACACAACATACTTGTCTTTCCTGTATATACAACCTATATAAATAACAACAATTCATTTTGAACTAGTCCTCTTTGACCTTTGAACTGAAGAGAGGTTATGTTGTGTAAGAAGCCTGGATTATTTATTTATTCATTTTATTCATAATAAGAAGTTTTGTCCTTCTCTTCTGCTTTCAAATAATACAGTAGGTATGCTATAAATATGACACCGTTTAAAAACGGTAAAATTACCATTGAAACCAAACTTTTATTTATAGCCTATGACTCAAATGGGACTCAAAAATATCATTTTAATGACTGGTACATCACTTTCATCAACCTGAACTATCCACAACTATTTATTTTGCATAAGAGGGGAGAAATTGTTAAGATGGATTTGCAAAGTCTGCCTCTATATTTTCCTGGGTCTTTAGAACAGCTGTTCATTATTTCATGCATTTCTAGCTAATAATTTTCAAAGTGGATCAGATTTGAAGGAATACAGACTGGTGCAGTTTCTTAAAACCAGTATACGATGATGTCTAAAATAGGCATTGGGCTGTCGTTCAGAAAACAAACTGGGCTGCGTTTCCCAAAAGCTTCGTAAGCCTAAGAAGTTCGTAAAAACGATCGTACGACAGATCTTAATATTACGGTCTGTTTCCCAAAAGCATCGTAACTTAAGTAGCACTTGAAAATCATCGTAGATCTACGAGTGTTCTGGAGTAATCGTAAAGCCCGACCTGCATCGTTGTCTGGAACGCAGCATTAGGTTAACATTTCAATAAACGAGCGTGTACTACAATTACGAGCCATTCTATAAGGTGACATTTCAGCACTTGACAAACGGATAGCGACTGCTAAGTAGCACTTAAAGCACGGCTACGTGCGATTGTGTTAAGTGCATTTTTGGGAAATGCATGTGAAACAATAACGAACGATCGTAAAACGACTAGCAGAAAACGCTCTAAAGCTCTGAGATCAATCGCTATCGAGAAACGCAGCCCAGCGCAGGTCGCGATATTGAGGTCAGTGGGACACGTGACTGGCGCTGTCCAGTTGGATGCTCTGTTGACTAGCGGAGCCTGACAATCGCACGATATGCATCTGCTATTAACGTGAATTCCTCTCCTTGGATTAAAATATATAGCCTAGCCTCGGCGTGATCATGGGACAGTGTGGTGTTATTTCTTCGAAGACGGTCTTAGTCTTCCTAAATTTGATTTTTTGGGTAAGTTGCCTACAGTATAAAAGCTGGGATGGATGCGGTGGTTAGCGGCATTATGGCATAGCTCTGCAGGGAGGGATACACGAGCTACAGCGAGAGATCAGTTGTTTACACGTATAATCGACAAGCTTTTAATCGACAGAAATCTATTGTTATTTTGACTGAATGCATCACTGAATGAATCCAAGCGCAGCATTGCACATTGGTTTGGTCTATTTTGTCCCCATGTGTCACGCCTGAGCAATAGCTACTATAGGCTATTTGGTTAAAGTAGCGAATGTCAAGTCACATAGGCTACACAAATTATATAGGCCTAATTAAAATGATGTTTTTAGCTTTGCATAGACTTAGCCTGTCTATCCATAGAATAAGAATTACAATAGAAAGAAAGAAAAGCAAGACTACACATTTCAATATCGTTGTATAGGGATTTATTGTAGAGCAGGGATAATTGTAACACTTTTGGTTTTTGTTCTGAAATTTTGTTCTGCGTTTTGTTTAATTTATTCAGAAAATTGTAAAGCTATTGCTTCCAACAACATTAAGATATTAGCAGTCATCACACATGTTAATTAAATTTATATCGATCGAGGTATATATAAATAAATAAATAAATAAATAAATATATATATATATATATATATATATAACAGTGGCTTGTGATGAATAGTAAAATGTTAATGTTTGTCAATACACTGCCTAAAACACTATGTTAATATCATAATACATAGCTTTTAATTTTGACAATTTTAACAAAACAATATTTCTGTTGCACTCTTCCCAGGCTGCCGCTGGTATACTGTGCTACATTGGGGCCTACGTTTTCATCACGTATGATGATTATGATCATTTTTTTGAGGATATCTACACTTTCATCCCTGCCATGGTGATAATTGCTGTGGGCACGCTTCTTTTTGTCATTGGTTTCATTGGATGCTGTGCCACCATTCGAGAAAGCCGCTGTGGCCTGGTCACGGTAAACTAGAGTCTAGTACCCCCAATTTTCACATACATAGCTTTGATGATTTTTTTATTTAGAATGTTTCCTGATTGTTCTCGTCTAATTTTTCTGCAGTTCTCAGCAGTGCTGCTACTGGTGTTTGCCACAGAGGTGGTTGTAGTGGTGCTAGGCTATATTTACAGAGCCAAGGTTGGAAATAATTAAATAACATGTACATGTGCATGTAAGTAGTTTGAAAGTGTCATTGATAAAACATTGAAACGTCTTTTCTTTTTCTCTGAAAGGTCGAGGCTGTAGTGAATCACTCTATTCAAAAAGTATATAATGAATATAAAGGCACCAACACAGACGCTCCCAGCAGGGCCATCGACTATGTCCAGAGACAGGTAAGACCATCAGTTCCTTTGTCTCTTTTTCCACCATTTTTCCATTTCTCTTCTTACAATCTTTCAATTTTAGCTCCACTGTTGTGGCATTCATAACTACTCTGATTGGATGAACACTCGCTGGTTTATTGAGTCCAAAAATAACAGCGTTCCAGTGAGCTGCTGCAAGCCCAGCATCAGTAATTGCACTGGGACGTTAATGCGACCAGGAGACCTCTACCCAGAGGTAACAGCCTCACACACATTCTACAGACCTGCAGCCCAAAACTATTAAATGATAGTCTAACCGAACTTCTTGTTACAGGGCTGTGAAGTTCTTGTAGTAAAGAAACTCAAGGACATTATGCTGTACGTCATACTGGCAGCATTAACGTTCGCTGCCATACAGGTAAAAAGTCATTTGCGGTCATACACTCAAATGAAGCGGTCATTTGTCACTTAAACAGTGGTCTATGTGATTTTAACAGTAAATACGGGAAGTGTAATATAATGTAAACAGCACATAAAACGTTTTACTTAGAAATAGCCTAATCATAGTAATTACTTGACTACTCAACAAATAAAGAAATACGTAGACATGAAAGATTGATTTGAAATTAAATTATTTTCTAATCTTATCTGGATATTAAATTAAAGTTTCTGCTAAGACATAACTAGTCCATTACAATACGAAATAATCAGCTTAGCAACATATAGGTAACAGAGACACTAGATGCCACCACTTGCGGTTTTGTATGAGACCCGCGGGTTTGCGAAACATGAGAGTAGAAAACATTATAACAGAGAGCTGAAACGTTGGACTCAACTTTTCATGGTACAAGAAGAGCGGTCTGATATACAGCGGAGCCTATGCTCAGACAACAGTGAATGTTAGGAAATATCATGCTGCATTCCAGACAAAGTAGGTGTGAATACTCGATTTGAATTTCCCACTTACGAACATTGTATGTTACATTTCATTAGAAACAGTGCTTGCTGCAGAGCCGATGAGATCCAGGGGGTGAGGTTGGATCCAGATCCAACTCCTCCCACCTTACATATCCCTAAACCTACCCGTCTTCACCCCCTGATCACTAAACTCAGCCAACTCCACCCCCTACACTCTTAAAAATAAAGGTGCTTCACGATGCCATAGAAGAACCTTTTTGTCTAAATGGTTCCATAAAGAACCTTTAGCATCTGAAGAACCTTTCTGTTTCACAAAAGCTTCTTTGTGGCGAAAGAAGGTTCTTCAGATTACAAAAAGGTAAGAAAGAGATGGTTCTTTAAAGAACCTTTGACTGAGTGGTTCTTTGTGGAACCAAAAATGGTTCTTCTATGGCATCGCTTGAAGAACCTTTTGAAGCACCTTTATTATTAAGAGTGTAGATATGGATCCAACCTCGCCCCCTGGATCTTGTGTTCTGCAGTAAGGGGCTACTGGAGCCCATGGATGGAGCTTGACATCCAGCTCCCCCTCTCTGGGCCTCTCTGAGCCAAATGGGTGGTGCAGAGGTCCACCCATTTGGATCTGTAGTGAGCACCACTCGTCCAATTACAAGTTCGTTCACAGATATGCAACACAAGATGGCGCTATTACTCAATGTATCTCAGTGTGTGGCGCTGTTTTTTTATTTATTTATTTATTTTATTTTATTGACAACACAGGAATATAGAGTCATAAAAAACATATAAATCTATAAAACAATCAAATCAAAACTTTTAATCTTATATCAAAAATCAGTCTTACATCTAATACATCATTTGCCCTTTTGAACAGCAGAGATGTCTTAGCTTTATGATTGTTCTGTTTAGAGATTAAAGAATCATAAAAGATAATTAAATCAGTAAAAAGTTTACCATTTGGTACAGACAACATGTATTTTGCTTTGTGTATATGATTAGTTAAGAAATGTGATTATACTGTGCATCTCCAATAAACCAGTATCACATTCCATAAACAAGATCCTATTGTAAAACCGGTCAAAAATAAACAATATATCTAAAATAGTCAAAAATAATTTTGCATAAGTACAACTAATAGTAAATGTAAGCTTGTTTATGACTCCTCTTTACTCCTTCAAAACAACAAAACACTACTTTAACCTTTCTACAGTCATTACATGGATCATATCGATTTATTATTTTAGAGTTGCTTTTCTTACACTTAATTAGAATTACATATGTATTTATATTGGAGCAAAGTTTCTGGAAAAAGAGAAGGATTATCATGATTACATGATATTTCTAATATATATATATATTTTTTTTATCCCTGATGTAAAGACCACCAGTAGGAACCAGATGATAACCAATTATACATGTTTTCATTTTTAATAATGTGAATAAGATTAGGGGAAATACAACAAAAGAGTTTTAAATAATATTTTGAAGATACATTTATCCCAAGAATATTAACAATTGCAGCTGTCTTTGACACTGGTTGTTTCTCCTGTTCTTAGGCCAGACATAAAAGTCAAGAAAACTAAATGTTTGTGTTCTCTTTAAAAAAAAAATAAAATGCCTACTATAAAATAAAGTTATAAAGATACTGTGTAATAAAGATACACATAGCATGTAATATTACAATAAATACTGTATTTTAGATATTAATTTCTTCTCAGAAATTGCTTATATTTCTTTAACGAGAGTTCCCACTTAATTTTTACATGTCTCTCCTTCTGAATTCTTGATACCATATATGTACATTTTAAAAAACTGCAATCAAATGACCCTTCTCACCAATCTAGTTAATATTTTCAAGGAGAAGGTATAGACTATAAAGGGTGAGTCTCAATCAGGCTTTGGCTCGATCACAAAATCCTTCCAGTGCACTGGAATGTTCGCTCCCTTAAAAAAATCCCACAATGCACTGCAAAAACCAGGGAGAATCTTTGCTCACTATGGTTCTTCATCAGAAAATATATGCAGTATTAATGCACTTTAAACAGCATTAAAAAGCGAGATCCTGCTGTTGTTGATAAATGATATGAACTATATAACTGTCACAGTTATGGGCTGTTTGTTGTGTTTTCTTCCTCTGTGCCCATATTTGGTCATGTTCCTGTATTCTCATTATTAGTTAATCCGCATCACCTGTTTGCCCCTTGTTATCTGCCTTATTTATAGTCCTCTTTGTGTTCCGTTGACTGTCGGCTATTGTTTAGTGTCACATGTGTTTGTTCAACCTGGAATATTTACCTTTCGTGTATGGTGTGGATTCTAATTAAAAGCATTTATGTGGATTACCTTCATCTTCCTTGTCTTCCTTGGATCAACCGTGACAGAATAACCGACCTAAACATGAGAAACAGGAGGAATGAACTGGCCTCTATCAATGTGGCCCCAAGGGGTGAAGTCAATAACCCTTCTGGAGTCACTATCTTCATATTTCAGAACGGCCGAAACCTGGTGGAGTATGGGCTGGAGTTTTTCGCCACATGTGATGACCTCACCTTAATGGAGGGATTCTGGTGCTGGCTGGACGACGATATCCGTTTCGTCATGCCCCAAGCTGATTCCTGCTGGTTGCTGAGGAATTACATCAACTTTGCGCTGTCGTCGGATTAGCATTCACCGTGGACGAAGTTGAGTCCAGCCCGGGGTCATCACATGTGAGTGCCGCCAGCCCAGAGTCATCGCCGATCATGGCCACTAACACTAAGCCCAGTCAAAAACCCCCCAACGGCAAGGAGATGCCCGAGCCCACTGCTGATGCAGAGCCATCGCCTGCCGCGGTCATCGAGCCATCGCCATCAGGAGCAACAGAGCTGAAGATCGCCCCGGAGCCTGAGTCCCAAGAGTCTGACCAGGTGCGAGAGCAGACAGCATAAGCAACGGTGGATACAGCTGTGGAGATCGTAGAGGCAATGGAAAGCCCTGCCCGTGCCACCACTGCTGGGGGTGTGCGCAAACTGGAGTGCACTCAGAGATGCCGTCCTTCAGTCTTCACCCGAACTTTTAACCTGGGAAAATATACCACCCAACCTACCTCTCCCGCCTCTTCTCATTGACCTGTTCCCTTCCTCAACACCCTCTCCGCTGGATCCCGTCAGCCCCTCTGCTCACACTCAGCTCCCCATCTGTGGCGTGGGCTCGCCACTGGTCTGCCCATCTCCAGCTCCATTGGCATCGAGTCTGGAGGATCCCTCGACTCCGCCTTCAGCCTCCGAGGCCCAGACCTGTGACCCAGTGGCTCCACCATGGCTTCCAGCTCCCTCGTCTCCACTGGAGCCCATCAGTCCACCAACTCCACCAGGCTCCCTCTTCCCTCCAGCTCCGCCTTGGTCAGTCGTCCCCCTACCTCCACCTCTGGACTGCACTCCTCCGGCTTTGCCTCGTCCCTCCGGCTTCATTGGGCTCCTCCCTCCCTCCAGCTCCACCTCAGTCCTCTGTCGCTCCGGCTCCTCCGCGGCCTTCCGGATCTCCGCCTACACCTCGGTCACAGAAGCCTCCGGCTCCGCCTTGGCCCTCCGGATCCTTGGCTTCACCCTGGCTCTTTGGCTCTCTGTCACTGCCTCGGGCTCCGCCGCCGTCGATCGGTCCCCTGGAGCCGTCAGCCCTTCCTCCACCTTGGCTCCTCCCTCCGTCGGCTCCACCATGGGCCGCCATCATGACTGTGGCCTGGCTTCTCCTGCTCCAGATCCCGCCTGTCTCCTCCCTGGCTCCTCCCTCCGTCTAATCCTCCCTGGCTTCTCCCTCCATTTGATCCTCCCTGGCTCTTTTCTCCATCTCCACCTTGGACTCTGGCGAAATGTCACAGTTATGGACTGTTTGTTGTGTTTTCTTCCTCTGTGCCCATATTTGGTCATGTTCCTGTTCTCATTTTCTCATTATTAGTTGATCCTCATCACCTGTTTGCCCCTCGTTATCTGCCCTATTTATAGTCCTCTTTCTGTTCAGTTGACTGTCGGTTATTGTTTAGTGTCACATGTGTTTGTTTAACCTGGAGTATTTACCTTTTGTGTATCGTGTGGATTCTAATTAAAAGCATTTATGTGGATTACCTTCATCTTCCTTGTCTTGCTTGGATCAACCGTGATAATATCCTTACTGATTCTAACAGATAATGCAGAATATTTTAAATATGTTCTCATAATATTTCCTGCCATCATCCTCAGTGTAATTGTATGTTTTGACCATTGTTTCCTTTTCTGTGCACAGATGCTTGGGCTGCTGTGTGCGTGTGTGGTCCTTTGCCGCAGAGGTCATGACCCTGCCTATGAACTGCTTATCAGCACGGGTGTAGATACCTGAGAGGTACCGCATGGCATCATGGGTACGGCTGGTCCTCCCAGCCAGTGTACTGTACATATTTAAACTGAATCAGGCTACCACTTTTCTACACTAGTATTAAAACCAGTTTCAATACCTTTGTTTGACATAAAATCAAAGCTTTGACAGCTTGAATAGCCACACACTGCTTTAGTTTTGAAGAAAATGTTCCTAAAAATGTTCCTAGAAGAAGTATTGAATCGTTTCTTTATTTACAGCACTACTGATATTTGCTAGAGTCTGATGAGCAGAACATAATCATTCAGTTGTTTATTATATTTTACACTAATTGATTTCATGCGTCATGGTAATGTGATATCATGTGTTATTAAGTAGTTGTTAGGCCAAAGACTGAAGTCAATGGTTTACATAGTTCAGTTATTTCCCTTATTTACAGTATGTGTTGTACAAGTAATCCTTCTGAGTCATAATGAAGAAGAAAGATTGTTTTAAATTTAAATTATTTTCTGACAACGTTCCTTGCTTCTTATTTCGAGCTTATCTTTAGAGAAATATTGATACAAAGGGTTTAAACTAAATCATTACTTTTAACTCTTGCAGCAGCATTAAACTGGCAATTAACAACAAGGTTACATAACATAAAGCATGAATTACACTATCAAGTATTTGGCAGTAAAACAATCAAAAGTGCAAGTCTAACAAAACAGTTTAGTGTGTTTCAAATATAAAACTGAGCATTTGAAAATTCTCTAAAATCAGTGTTGTTAAAAATGTTATATAGTAAAATGGTTGTGCAATGCCTGGGACCAGGAAAAAAATATTTACTTGAAAAAACTTTATTCTATGAGTGACACTGCTGTATGTCACTCTAACGGAAGTGTTACTCTTAAATGGTCACTGACATGAATGCTCATATAATACTCACAATGTTCACTGTAGCATGAAAACACTCATGTTTTCACATTATTTGATGAATTCATGCTTTTAATTTCTCCCTGCAGAAGTATAACAATGACTAATGCAAAGTACCTACTGTAATGTATGTTGATCTGGCTCAGTTAATTTCAAATAAATCACTGAAACGAAAATGATCCATTAAGTGATTTCTTTTTTATATATTATATTGCACATTAAGACTGTGTATTATTTATTCAAGCTCAAACATTTTTACTCAAAAAATCAAAAAATAAATAAATATAAATGTAAATAAAATATACATTTAATTTTCACTTAATGCACATACTGTAGTTCCTCTACAACTTCTAAAATTGACAAAACAAACACAAACTGTCTGAATCAGTCTTACATCTTGTAATGTGGGGTTTGGGGTTCATGTTCTTCTTCTTCTTCTTCTTCTTCTTCTTCTTCTTCTTCTATTGAGATTAATTGGCGGTTGGCAAACAACTTTTTGGTGCATTACCGCCACCATCTGGGGGTTTCATGTTCATTGTTTTCATGTCTTTTATTTTGTAGTTTGGCCACAGTCATGTTCTGTCATGTGACCCTTGTTGTTTGATATAAATAGCCCTCATGTTGCCATGTCCTTTGTTGAGTATTGATGTTGTAACCTGCTGTCGGTGAGTCAAGTCTGTTAATGCTAAGTCAAGTCTATTCATGCCAAGTCAAGTCAAGTTTTTCTTTTTCATTTCATTTCACTTGTTTGGATTACTTTGAATAAAAGCTGCACTTGGGTTCATAGTGTCTGGGAGAGTTTGGCTGTCAATAAATTTGACTTTAGTTTATTGTGCATAAGATGTATGCAAGGTGTTCAAATGGAAAACAAGAACTATTTTATTTATTACTTTAATTGCAATTTATTTTTCAGTGTTTCCATTTATTGTTGAGTATATTTTCCAAAACAGTTTAATGATCTTCAAATGATCTCTCAAATGTCGAACTCACAGATAACATAAAAAAAACATTGTTTCCAAATGCTGAAAATGATGAAAAGCATATCAACATAGCTTCTAAAAGTACTGTAAATCTATGACATCAATACACTCTCACTAAAAGTATAGTTTGTGTTTCAAAGTGCAAAGTGATGCATCATCAGGCATTTTTCAAGCAGCATGTTCACATCTACGACCCTTTTTGATCATTTAAATAACAAACATAGCATATTGAGATATACAATGCATAAACGGGAACCCAAGCACTACAGCACTACTTTTACATGAACTATAGACATGCAGATTCACTGTTTTAAAGTCAAATAAAGGTCTACTTTGACATTTAGAATTTTTTATTCATTTATATCTTGCACTCTTCTCAACTCCTCTGGGGAAAACAAAACAAAATACTACATTATGACCGCTTCAGTATTCTACTGGATTATATGAATGTTAACTTTATTTATAGTAATATATGTGTGTCTGTGGAATATATATATTTATTGTATTATAATATACACATTTATTGTATTAACAACAACATAACATTTGTTTTATATTAAACAAACAGACACAACTGACATATATATGATTTGGTTCTTACCCTGTTCTTTAATAACATACAAAGTTTAGTTTCTCTGCACAGTCTCTGCTCTCCCAACGTTTAGCTGCCAGGTTTCGAGATCCACAGTAAAGGGCACTGGCGGGGCATACCGGCAGCTGGACCAAATTTCCAAGAGACTCCCCATTGACCCAGAACCAGGAGCCTGCCAGGAAGCGCAGACCTGTCCACATGCCATCGGTTTGCATGTCTGCAGTCTTGTTATTGGCTTGGAAGAGATGTAAACTGGTTGGCAGACAGGCCAAGCCAGAGTGTTGAGACCTGCAGTGTTCTAACGCCTCCTCCCAGCTCTTCTTCTCCGTTACCAGGATCAGTTCAGGCACCCACTTGTAGCAGAAAAAAGGGTACTGCGTATCACAAATGTAGTCATGCAATTCCCCACCTGAACTCTTACAGCAAAAGGAAATATATGGGTAGTCTGGTTGACCATCCTTCCATGGCATAGAAATTTCTTTGCTTCCATCACTCCACACCCATTGGCTGTGAACAGAGAGTTTGCTCAGTCCAACCCAGCTCTCTGTGCTACCAGCTTTCTGATTATTTGAATCGCTTTCGAACCGTGTAAGTTCCTCATGGCTGTCTATGGTGGACAGGTCGGCATAATTCTCTCTGCAAAACTTTTGAGCATCGCTCCAAGTCTTAGTGTCATTGATAAAAATGTGTTTCCTGATCAAAGTTAAAGTCAGCTCACAATGAGCTGACAGGAAAAGAGCAACCCAGGCAAACTTCATCTCTTCTGTGGGAAGCAAGTCAGTAAATACACACGTAAGGTAGACTCCATAAATATATATATACATGCAAATTTGCAATTTGTTAGTCAATATTGTATGCAAATAATCACTTTGAGGTCAGATGTCACCAACACAGAACAAAGACTGTAATGACTAGTCTCACACCGAGATCTTTATCTTGACAGTCAGTTTTAAGATGCCTTAATACAGCAATTTAATTAATAGCTCACAGAAATTTAAAAAAGAAAGAAACAAACAAAGTTGCACTGCAAACATTTTCCAATTAGACTGATGTTTTTCTCCTTTTTCCAAAATTCACTGTGTATTAAGTTTTTTATTAAATGTGCAACAATATCGCAAACTCAAGTACTAAAAATGACACTTCCAATTCATCCATTGGAAATAAAATACACAAAATAATGTTGGATGAATGCACAAATTCATCACAGGGCTTCTTTTTTTTTCTCCAAATGTAATTATTTTTACATTTATTTTTACAAGTAAAAAATGTACTTGTTTATTTTTGTATTCATTTATTACACTTATGGAGTCTACATTATATTAATTAACATTTATTGACTTATGTATTATTCATTTATTTCTTTCTCCATTTATTTCTTCTTGTGATAATGGGTCATGACTTTCATATTCCGATATACAACATTGGGATAATGACCTGATAAGACTTGCAGATATCATTTTACATTTTAATAACTTGAATTTATAAAATAAAAGAAAAGAAATAAAAAGAAATACAATACAATAAAATAAAATAAAGACCTAATGTTATATTTAAGCTTTGTATATCTGTATTAATAGTTTTTTTGTTGTTTTATGATTTATTACATTTTCACAACACCTAGTGCTAATCCACCCAACTCCTTAGTTTTTTGCAATATGCCTTTACGCATTCTGGGAGTTTTCCCATTCCATATAAATTGAGAAATAGAACTATCCAGAGAATTAAAGAAATGCTTTGGAATAAAAACTGGGATACATTGAAAAAGATAAAGGAATTTGGGCAGTATATTCATTTTAATACAATTTATCCTACCTGCAAGAGAAAGAGGCAACACAGACCAACGATGAAAATCTTCAGTCAATCGATCCAGCAGAGGAGAAAAATCCGAAAAGTCAGAGTAGTTCTTGGTAACACAGATGCCTAAATAATTAAAACTGTCCAATGATATCTTGAATGGCCATTTTGAAAGAGGATAGGCTGCAGCTGCAGAGTTTATAGGCAAGAGTTCACTCTTATGAAGATTCAGTTTGTACCCCGTGACCTGCCCAAATTCCTTCAATAAGTCTAACACAAAAGGTATAGATCTGTCTGGATCAGAAACAAAAAGTAAAAGGTCGTCAGCATACAAAGACAGTTTGTGCCCAGAGTCCCCTCTTATGATACCCATTATCTGACTCGACCTGAGAGCCACCGCCAATGGTTCGATAGCAATGGCAAACAGTAATGGGGAAAGTGGGCAGCCCTGCCGAGTACCACGCCCAAGCGGAAAATAATCAGAATAATCATTGTTGGTGTGGACACGGGCCAAGGGAGAGGCATAAAGAAGTTTAATCCATGAGATAAATTTACTGCCAAATCCAAATCTTTTTAATGAGTAAAACAAATAAGGCCACTCCACCCTGTCAAATGCCTTCTCTGCGTCCATTGAAATAACCAACTCCGGGGAGGCTGAAGTTGAGGCAGAGTATAAAATATTAAATAAACGTCTGACATTGTGGAGGGAGTGTCTACCCTTCACAAACCCTGTTTGATCTGTAGAGACGATTGAAGGCAAAACAGTTTCCAAACGCCTTGCCAGCATCTTGGCCAGTATTTTAATGTCCGCACACAGCAACGAAATAGGGCGATAATTACTACAGAAAAGGTGGTCTTTATTCTTCTTTAAAATGAGAGAAATAGTGGCCTGTCTTAAAGTAGGGGGAAGTATGTTGGATACTAAAGATTCATTGAACATATTTAGCAGTAATGGGGAGAGTTTGTCAGCAAACGCCTTAAAAAATTCAGTGGGAAGGCCATCAGGCCCTGGACACTTCCCATTCTGCATTGAGAATAACGCCCCTTTGACTTCTTCTGCTGTAAAAGGCTCATCCAGCCTGGAAGATGTATCACAGTCAATGGAAGGAATGTTTAAGGGCCTAAAAAAGTTGTCCAATTGAGCTTCATCAGATGAACACTCGGACCTGTATAATGAGGCATAGAAATTCCTAAATTGGTCATTGATAGTTTGAGGATCAATAGTTGTGCCATCGACAGTACTAATTTGTGTGATGTGTTGCGCTGAAGCAGATTGTCGAATCTGGAGGGCCAAAATTTTGCCTAGTTTATCTCCAAACTCATAATACTTGTGGCGAGACTTTAATAATGCTTCAGTTGTCCCATCAGCAGTCAAAATATCAAATTCAGCCTTTTTCATAAGCAATTCCTTTATAAGTTCAGGGTCATTTGCGTCAACACATCTGGACTGCATATCCCAGATCTGCACCCATAACAACTGAGGCGAAATTCCCAGCAGCACATAAAAAAAGAGCTAGAGTATGGTAAAGCATCAGCTTGCAAGTAAAGGCAAAGAAAGAAAAAATAAATAACAAAAAAAAAAAGGAGGAAAGAAGAAGGGGTTAACATTGAACATTCAAACCCCAACCCAGTTGCTGTAAAGAACTGATACAGCAACAAACAAACTCTGATACAATGATCAGCGGAGATTAACACTTCCCTATACCTATAGCACCGCTCCCACAGCATTATGCAGCTAAACTTTACAGATCAAACATCAAGTTTTTCTTCCATTTTAAAGAAACATAAAAAAAAAGAAAAGGGCAGTGCCCAAGACTTATAATAGCCATACAGCCTTAATAGACTACTGAAGATATACATACATATATACAGTGGCGTAACTTTGCTTTGAAAAGTGGTGGGGACACCGCACAACTCCTTTTGCTAGTTTTTTTATTTAATAACCTAATTTACTTGGGGACTGGGTTTAGAGTTGAACAAACTGAATTTTTGCTTTTCAAAAATACATCGATGTACCAGGGGCGGTGCCAGAGAATTTTGAATGCAGGTGCCGAGGGGGTACTAGGTCACTGACAGAGGGAGCTGGGCAATTCAGGGCTCCAGACTCATTCTTCCCACTGGTCGCTTTTGCGATTAACTTTCTCAGTTGGCTGTGTTTTTTTTTTGTTGCGCTACAACATGCTGTTAATCAATGCACGCTGATTAACTTTTATGGTAGTTTATAGTTATATGGAAACGAAAGTAGTTAACATTCAACCCGTTCTTTTTCATCAGTAGTATTATTTGTGATTTGAATTTTGTGAATGGGAGTTCCTCTTTTGCCATGTTA